GTTATCTAACAACGTTCCAGTAACATTATTTGGGTAACGTCCAGGTAACGTATGCAGTTACGTTACTGTAACATTGTGGTGTAACGTTACTGGAGTGTAGAATCCGCGGTCGTTAGCAGCGTTCGGCAACGTTACCTGACAACATTCCAGTAACGTTGTAGCTACATTTTGTGCTACTTGGGCTGGTACCTCGTAGAATTCCAGCTCCCACTTCAAGTAAGTACCATCCTTTAGAACTGGCAATTAATAGTTTCGAACCGCAGAAAGGCAAGCAGATCGCGAAAATCGGTCTCAAACGTGCCACGAATGTAATGTCGTATACAAGAAGCCAACAATCAAGCATTTGAAAGCTACAAGAAAGCGGTAGCGAAATATTTACTACGCAATGAACCCGGACTGAAACGCGGATGTCAAGGGTCAGCAAACACCGAGAACATTTAAGACAAGAAAGGTTTTCTCTTGTTTTCTTGATCGAGATGGGTTCTCGGATGTTCACGACATCTTATCTGTTGAAGAACGGGTCGCAGAGGCTTCTCGTGAAGACATCGTTCACTATGTGCCGGTGCATTCGGACAGCCTGCCGCATCCAGCTCCTCAAAGCAACGCCGCCAACGCAGCCCCCCCCCCCCCCCCTCCTGCTTGCCAGTTCTCTCCGCGTGGTGGCGCGAGCGTAGATAAACATGGCGGCGCCCTGGAATTGGAGCGGACACTGGTCTATATGTTGCAATTTCCTTTTGAGCGGCATATTTTTACGTTTAAAGAATAACCCATGTGATGAGAGTTATTATTCTTTACAAAAGGTTTTCAAGATGGGCGCTTCCGTTTGGATTCATACAAACAAAAGCTTCGCCATTCTTTCATGGCCGCCGAAGTCTCTGCTCCCGCCTGTCTCGCCTACCTCGACTAATCGTTTCGCTGAAGTGATCAGTGTTTCGTCGTTTCGTGCTGACCCAGGTGCTTGAGTGAGACTTCTTGAAGTGAAGTAGTGTGTGTTTAGCAGCTGTCGCAGGTGTTAGTGATAGGAAGCGACGCGGGGTTTTGGCTTTCATAGCGCGGTTCTTTCGTTTTCCTCTTTGCTTGCTTAGCGTGCTTTTTTTTTTTCTTTTTTGTTTTGCTTGTTTGCGCGTGCAAATGCTGACTTTTCGGAGATGTCAGATGCGTGATCCCGACAGTGAGCCTTCCAGCAGCCATGTCGCCCCGGAAGGAATGCTATTTGGCTGGAGGCAATCGGGCGTTCGCGTAGCGACCAACGTGTCTAGTTACGTTCTCGTCATATCGCTCTGGAGGCCGTCGAGATTCGCCCCATGTGCACCTAACGTCCGCGACTAGACAGAAAATAAAAAAGCACTATGTCCACTACGTAAAAATGGTGTCAGTTCATGCATCTGTAGGCAGGTACGAAATCGTGCCTAAATTTATTCACACCGCACGATGCAACACGTCGCTGTGCAAACGCAGTCCAACACGAAGCATAAAAACGGCAGATTTAGGACAACAATTCGGAGTCCATTGTTCAATTAAAACGACGTAATTTTGTTGAAAACGCCCGCAGCTTTTTACTCACGGTATGCGTCGGGAAACTTCCACATTTTGAAACAGAACGAGGCAGATTTACTTTTAAAAACGCTCGCTGCGTCCTCCCGGACCAGTTTAACTGGATCAGCTGACGACGACGGGACTTAACTGGTTGAACGTCAACCCCACAACAACCAATTTGCGCTCCGTGTTAGCACCGCATTACACACACCACGAACGTTTCAGCTCTGTCGCATCGCCGTGTTGCACCAAACAGAACGAGATCGCCGAAACCAACGCAGCGATGTCGTGAACCTTGGCTTGTGGTTGCGCACTCGTGAATTCTGTGACTCCCTTCGGTTTCAAAGCGCGCACGACGATTACGAACGATACTTTCCGTCTTCCGGGAGCATCACAGGGGCACTTCTCCGGTCACGTCTTCGCTACATGTGCTCGCAAACCGCGTCAAACCAAAACAATACCGCGGCCTGGCGTAGTTGCCAGATCTTGCCGGAAGTCGAGACGCTGCGTCGTTCAACTCCGCAACGCTAGGAGAGTGAGGGGCGGGGCGTACTCCTCTTCCGCGGGGGTCGGAAGAGCGGGAGTTTCAAATGTGGAGAGGTTCTGACTCTACTCAATTACGTCCTGTGGCGTAAATATTGATAAAAAAAATCATTTTTTTTGCGGAACATTTGTTTTGTGACATGCTTGTCCCAACTAGGCTGTTTAAAAAAAAACTTTTTTTTCTTTGCAGTTACCCTTTAAGAGTGGAATTACCCTTTAAGAGTGGAACGCGATAGCGAAACATATAAACCTCTAATGTGGCGATGCAGGCGAGTTGGTTATGCATGTTGAAAGTAGTGAAAGCGCACAATAAAGACGAATACGAAGACGGAGAGGCAAACAGGACGAGCGCTGACTATCAACTGAATTTTTTATTGGAAAATATAGAAACAGCAATATAAAACCAGCAAAAGCCACAAATACTATAAATGTGACTAGTCATCAATGACTCGGCCACCACACGTGTCAATAATTGGAATGTGCGGTGGGCGTGGTCTATAAAATTCCATTGGGCTGCGGCAAGGTTTACATAGGCCAGAACTGAAGGTGCTTGAATGAACGGTTGCGTGAACATACTTTATCACTGCGTTCAACAACAGGAGCCCATTTACACATACATTGCAGAGATTGCCGCTGCATTTTCAACTTTCAAGGCACTACAATCGTTGGGAGAGGTAAAGAAAAGGTGGCGAGGGAGGTACTGGAGGCTTACATGATAAAGAAGGAATGTCCTGATAAGTGTATCAGTCAGCCCTCACTTCTCCTTCACAAGAAGGAAGTGGACTTTATTGACACGTCCGGTGGCCGAGTCATTGATGACTAGTCATATTTGTAGTATTTGTGGCTTTTGCTGGTTTTATTTTGCTGTTTCTATTTTTTCCAATAAAAAATTCAGTTGATAGTCAGCGCTCGTCCTGTTTGCCTCTCCGTCTTCGTATTCGTCTTTATTGTGCGCTTTCACTACTTTCAATATAAGCCTCTGCTCGTTTTTAAGCCGTGCAAGCGTGTCTCCGTGACCTCATCGGTAGTGCGCCAGGTTCGCAACGGAAAAGCTGCAGGTTCGAATCCCAACTCCGCCTACAATTCTTCAAACGTTTTCTTTAAGGCAAATGAATTATTTTACAAAGTGATATCCTTTGGGACGTGCTCGGCGACTTTCAACTCGTATTACACGTCATGTTTTAATCGCTTTCACTCCACACGTGATGTCACGTTTCACGTGAGCGTTGTTTGAAATACCCGCGCAAGCTCATGCGACTGTAACGTCATAACGCCATCACCTACCAATCGGGCTTTTTCCTTCCCACCGACGGCGATGCCGGATGTTCTCCGACACGAGCTCCTCGACGCTATCGCTTTAACAAATTCGGACAATAAAAAAAGCCGATAAGCAAAAAAAAAAAAAAAAAAAGACTTCCGCAAGTTTCATTATATTGTTAAAGACAATACAAAATGTATCTAGCACAAACCACACACACTTGTTTTTATTTCTTAAACTTTATACTGCAAGAAAATATTCCGAAACGCGTCTTTGACACATCGTAACGCAAACAGAGGCACGCTAATCAAAGGGCAACGTAGATAACGCGTAGGGATCGAGTGATGACGAGCAGCCACGCGCGCAGTCATCGCTCGAGGTCGGGGGAAACAAAGGCACATGGGCACAGCGACCCCGGAAGTGCATTTTACAGGGGGGGAAGGGGGGGGGGGGGGTGAGGGGGGGAGGGAGCTAGGGTTCAAAATAAGGGGGCGGGGGGGGGGGGCGTGGAGTGAAAAAATATTTCAGATTGAAAAAAACAATTATTACCACGGTTTTACTTCTTAAAGAACGTTTATTATCCCTACCTACCGTGTGTCCATACATTAATCCAAAATTCGTGTCACGAAGCAATGGGATGTTGACACAATCTGATCTAATATTTATAGCAATACGGTGGCATCATTCTACGGTGTCGATGCAAAAATGCACTGGAAAATCGGGCGCTTGCACGTAGAAAGCTCGCATTTTTTTAACCGTGGACGCTTTCCTGTGAAATTCCTGTTTTCGTGGACACATTCCTGTCAAAAGTTATAACAATGCATTATAAACATTGAATGGCGATGCCCTTTTTTATTTCGGCATGTTTCCTGTTTTTATGGTAGTCTTTGAAGAAAGGCTAAAAGAGTATGGGTGTATAATAGGGCCTGAACATAGCAGGCTGGCTCGCCAAGCACCAAATAATGTTTCGAAAACCAGACACAGAAATACAGGCGAGAATGCGTCGATTTTTTGATGTCTCCGACGACCACCATGACAGTGGCGCTTCAACACAGACTGGAGTGCGAGCTCTCCTCTGACAACCTGTGCCGCCTGCTAATGCCTCCTCTTGCCTTGAGAGATGGGCTTCTTCATTCTCTCAACTTGCTACATCTGTAGGCAGTCCCTCCTTCAAGAAGGGCTTTCTTCTCGCGCAGACTGTACGCCCCCCTCGCGCTTCGGCTCTCCCCATGGAAGTCGCCAGACTGGTTTTGTTAAAAGCGCTGGGGTGAAAAGATTGCTCAATAATATGGAGGAAATGGGGAGATTACCGAGTAGAGAGGGGCTTACTGGTTCCATAAGTCGAGGAAAGGAACGGGAGGTGCGTGCACCCGGTCACGCATTTATTTGGCAAAAACTTGTGGAGCAAGTCAACAGGCCAGTTTCGGCCCTTTGATTGGTTTCAGCACTACGGAGCAGAGTGTGTGTGTGTGTGGGGGGGGGGGGGGGGGGTGCATGCGTAAGTACACACACTTTAGTAACTCGCGCGCTGTTACTGGCTGCCAGATTTGATTACCCAGTAGGTTAAAAAAATCTGCGAGTCGGCTAAAGCCTAGCTGGTTAATCACTCAAACGTCCCGCCCTTTTCAAATGTTTCAGCCGTTTCTACCGATCCGTGTCGCAGGCTTCCCACTGCCCATCGTGCCGGTGCTGATGTTCCTGTACTTCGCCTCGCACGTCTCCTTGGACGTCATGGACTGGGAGAGAGTCCCCCGGGAAGCGTCGCATTCACGGCCACTTCCGTCTTCGTAACGGCTGTGTACTCGACGAACGCTGCAATAAACCGCCCGTCAGGAATGACTGGCATAGAACAAGGGGCTGTTAACAATCAAGTCAACGTTTCACTACACCAGCTGCGAGCATTGCGCGTGCGCAAAAACAAGACTCGCGTGAAATGAAACATCTACGCATGCGCAGTAGAGAGCCTGCAGTACAGAGTCCAACTGTTCAATCAGAAATACCCGATTGCAATACGAGCTGCAAGGAGGTGCCGAGAGCGTTGATCGTCTGGAAACGCTTCCGCAGTTCCGCTCGCTTTCCTCCTCACCACGAACAAATGCAGCGCATGCGACCTCGGAATCCATTTCCGCAGGAGGAGTCCGCCATTACATTGCAAACGCTCCCCACACAGTAAATATTTTAACACCCAAAATCGTGTTAAAAGGTTTTTTTTTTTTCTTTAACCAACACCCTTCCTACACCCTTTTTACACGATTTTGAGTCGGAGTTAATCAGGTCGAAGAAACCCTTGTCTACGAGAGGAACCGGTAAGGACATCGTGACATCGATTGATCGTCATCGCGGTATAGCAGCATGTGCCCCAAATCGAGGAGCTATGAAATGAGTCGGAAAAAAAGAAATGTCGCCTGCAGTACCAAGCTCGAACTTTTATCTAATATGTGCTTTATATGTGGATTTGATACTTTGTGCAATACCAAGACGTAGCTCAAATGGCTTGGAATTATGTAGCGATGGATCGATCCGGCGTCCGGTCAAAACTTCAGGACATCAACGAGAACGTGCAAGAATGCGCGTCACATTAATCTTACACAAATCCGCCTTCCCCTCTGTTCGGTCAATATCATTGTCATCGACGCCGTTCTTCTTCACGCCAGAGGTGAGGCAATTTATTCCTACCGGTTTTTGCCTGAAAACCCAGCGCAAATGACGATAAGCAGTGCTCTATGCTTCCATCCCCGGTCAAGTGGTTAACGGACGTCCACACTTTTCATTCACACGGTGTGAGACGGGCGTAATGTTGATACTGTCGATTACACCCATGATTTTATAACCGCTCATGTTTATTGCTTTGATGAAACGCTTGCTGATGTACGGCGGTACCAACATCGAATATAATTAATCGCCACACAAAGGCGCGTATAATTAGGAAGTGCAAGAGAATGTTTTTTGAAACTCCGATCGAACTCTCCGTCCGAGAGGAGCCGAAAATTACGTGTCGCGCGTACATCAGTTTTATCAGTTCAACTTCCGATTTAAAATATCACCTCCGCTCGCAAAAGGTGACCGAAGAGGTGTAAATATACAGCCGAGGCAACACACCGTATGTCGCCGATATTGGATCTAGTCGAAAAGATTGTGCCCACACCATTCAACGAATGGGATGAGTCGCGCCAACAATATCCTGACATAACGTACACGATGCCGTTTTTAGTTGAGTGTTGAGAGTATCCTGCGTGAATCGGCTATGCCGGAGAGGTATTTCTATTTCTTTGCCGCCTAAAATACGACGTTAAAAATAAAAAAAGATTAGCCAAAACGGAATCTGCTTGCTTTTAGCCCGAGAAGTCTTTCTCGGGCAAAAAGCGAGCAAATTCCGTTTTGCTTAATCTTTTTATTCATTTTCTTTTTAACCGCGCTGAAGCTTGGAACAAACAGTGGCGCCTTTTTTTGGGTAGCACAAACTCACCTGACTGAACCAATAAATACACTTCCAAACACATGAAGAAAAAGAAAGGAAAGGAAAAGAAGGAATTCAAACGCATAAACAAGACGACGACCAACGAGTTCTACCCAGAAAGCATAAGCCACTCCCCGGCTCCACACTTTACGAAATGAAACCGCCACTCGAACAACAACTTCAAGGTCCCACATACAAGGCGACCCTCCCTGTGCAGCCCAGGAGGCAGCAGAGGGAGATTAGCAGCTTTGTCCATCCCCCTTTGACCTCTTCTTCTGATAAGCCTCCCCACTTTCTTTTGTGTCCGTGTGGCTGTGAGTGCGAAGGCCGCTTCTAACGAGTCAGAGGTGTGGAGCGAAACACGTGACCGCTCTCCGTAGGACAAAAACGCTTGGACGAACATTTGTCACGCGACTCGCTCTGACGCGCTGATGGCTTACTGGGGTCATAGCCTTCGCCGTTTGCCAGTTTATGGTGAGTTGTAGGGATCACGTAAATCCGGTTTCCAAAAAGCGTCCGTCAGTGTTCTCTTTTTCGTGCAAGCAGGTTCTGATGAGTTCCATTTCGCGACCGTGGTTTTTCGTCATGAACGGCCGGAATACATCTATGCCAACTTTTTCATCTATTGGCCATTTATGTCGTCGGAGTCTACGGAATTATTGTGCTATGTTTGTTGGACGAGTTTCGACAAAGAGCTGCTCATCGGCAGACGCGAGACTTCCGTTGAATGTGATCGACCGCCTTCATCCTCGACATAGTGTTTGCGTTGTTTCGTGCTGCCCGAATCGGATTGTGCATCTATCACGACAGAGCTGCTCATCGGTGACCGCGAGGCTTCCGTTGAATGTAAGCGACAGCCTTCATCCCCGGCATTGTGTTTGCGAATTGTTCTGTGCAGCCCGTATCGGATTATGCATCTATCACGGATTACATGAGATCGCTCTCTTATTTCTAAGTACTTTGCAAGCATACCTAAAAACATGAACTGCCGCTTGCGTCCCAATTAACTTCCGGTCGTTTCGTCTTTCCAAGCCTGTCGAGTTTTGCTTACGTCACCAGTGCTAGAAAGAATAAATGTCGCAAGCAGGGTTCTCCCCAGGAATTTCTGAGAGGTGGACACTACCAGGGGGGGGGGGGGGGGGTTAGAAATTAACACCCCTGTTTAGGGTGTTAGACATTAATCACACCCCTTTTTAGGGTGTTAGAAATCACACCCATGACTAAGGGTGTTAGAAAAATCACACCTTTATTCTACGGTGTGAGAATCACACCCCTGTTTTAGGGTGTCCGAAAATCACACCCCTTTCTTAAGGTGCTAAGACTTACACCCATTTCCTAGGGTGTTGTTACACGAATAAGAGTGCTCCCCATAGGACAAGCCATTTACACCAATAAGGGTGTTAACATTTTAAGTGTGCATGGTGTGAGGTAAACACTCTGATCTAGGCTCTAGTGCGCAGTGACGACAGCAGCGCCACCGCAGCAGTGCGACGTCAGAGCAGTGTTGCCATTTTAGCCATTTTGTCGCTAGATTTAGCGATTTTCTATACATTTAGCGACTGATGTTTCTTTTTTTTTTTTAATTTAGCGGCTAGCGACTTTGGTGTTCAACCGTAATCTTGTTGTTTTGAACAATTTTAAAGATGCTTGCGGGCTAAACCTTTTTGCTCCTCTAGCTGAGTTTGCTTTGGATATATGCTCAATTTAGCGGCGCGCTTAAAAAATGTCAACACTGTCAACACTGCAGACCATCTTTCCCGCGCCCACGTACCCACGTGCTCTCCGCCAAGCGTTGAGAAAATAGTCGAACTGTTTAGGGAGGTGTCAGGTGGATTTTACCTGGGAATCGCCTGTGAATAACTGCATTCAGTTTCTAGACATTTTGATCCTTTTTTCTGAAGAACATGGCTGCCGGCAGTATTGTCCGCGCACCAAGAAAAGCCTGGTTTTGTTTGAAAGTGCTCACTCTAAACTGGTAAGGAGGGGTATAGCCTTGACATGTCAAGTGCAGCTCTTGAAAAAAGTTGCAATCACCAGATGAAAATCAGCCTTGAACGACAATCAAAAGGGTTGAGAGAAATTACAAATATTATTACAAATAAAAAACGTTCTAGTTGTTTTTTAGTGTAAGTTTAACTTCTCAAAATACCTGAGATATGATTATATGAGGTTCACTTACTTTAAAAGGGTTTAATAAGCCTTTGGAATTCAGCGAATATTTTAGCGACTTCCTGGTGAATTTAACGACTGTTTAGTGACTTCCTAATCTCAATTTACCGACGCGCGCAAAAAAAAAAGATGGCAACACTGCGTCAGTGTCGTTGCGGTGGTGCTAATGAGGGCACGGTGCATGGCGCAAGCGTTTCACCTTATGCAAATCTCGTTTCCGCGCACGAGCAGTGCTAACACCCGATGCGGGCAAACACGCACTGCTTTGTAAACAGTGTTGGAGGGCGTATATATACCCTTTTCTTCTGTGTCATGCATAGTTTTCGCAGGAGCAATGTGGCCTGCGCTTCCCAGAACGCTTTATTTATGGGAGCGTAATGCACGCAGACCAAGCACTATCCTTGGTGGCAGACATTCCCCAAGGACAGCTCAAAGCCTAACGCAACCTCACAGTTGTTTTCAAATAAACTGCAACCAATTATTAGGGCAGTCAATCTCAGTAAAAAATCCACTCCATAGCAATCACTGATTGTAAAACGAAACGAGGCCTGACAACTTGGGTTTCTCTCTGGTTTTGTGACCGAGTCACGTGGCAGTCTTTGCTCAGTACATTAGATTATGACTGGGACAATATATGCCACGTCCGTTGCTGTATAGGCTTCTCAACGCACATCATGGTAACATACTTTTTCCCAAGTGCGCGCCATTGCCTGTCTGCCTAGGCTTTGGCACATACTTTGAGTCTGTATTGAACACAAGTCCTGCGTCAGTGTTGGGCGAGGGCTCATTTCCAATCTTGCTCTTCGTGCGCAAAATTTGGCGATCATCAATGTTGCTTCAGATTTTCGAAAATAGTCCAATAAGGTGCCTGGAGCGTATACTAAAATTGTGTAACTTACATTTAGAAGAAAATAATTAGTAATATATATTCTTTCCCAGCCGACACGGAATAAGACTTGTAATTTTATAGCTCGTCAACATAGCTATTCCATGAAACATCTGTGAACTAAACACCAAAAAATGTTTGCTCTACGACTTGTTCTAGTTTCATGTTCTCAAAATTTAAGTTCATGCAATCATGGTCTCGTTCATTAGCTGGTTTAAACAAAATTAAAGACGTTTACGAATCTCTCTAATGCAAAATTGCAGCGCAGCTCTTGACGAAGAGTCGGGGAGGGTAAGGAGGAGAGGTTATGCCCCTCCTCCTGCTCCGTACCCTCTCCTCCT